AAAAAAAAAAAAAAAAAAAAAAACCACAAAAAAAAAACAACTAACATTTATTGAGTGTTTGCCATTTGCCCAAACACTGAGAGTACAGAGCACTTTCCTGGACTGGGTTCCCTATAGAACTCTCTAAGAAGGTATTATAGTAATTAATGCTACCAATACATGAGGAACCGAGCTCTTGAGGACCATAACAGGGCAAATAATTGCTGGAGGGGGATATAAACCTAGATGGTCTGATTTCAGAACCTGAGCTCTTACCTGCCAGCAATCTATTGGAAGCAAGTAGATACCAGATTTTCAGCAGGTTGGAACATTTGTTAATGGAATGCAGTAAGTTTATTTTCTACTTGAGTTGCTTTTTAAATGGCATAACAGAAAATGTTCTCAATTTGGTCAAAGTAACCTTTGTCTTACCTTCTGTTTTATTACAAACTACTTAAAATTATAAGAATCTTATCCTCTGAACATTTTTAACTCTATGACAGGTTCTCTGTTCAATACCTATCGGCTAGCTAGATCGGTAGATACTTTGGCCAATTTCGCCACCTCCCTATTTGAGTGACATTTCACTTTTGATATCTTGAGAGAGAACATCTTTCCATTGATGTCCCTCTGCATCTAGCTGTCAGTGGGCACATTTCTCTTGTACATGCTGACTAAGGGATCTGTACATCATACCCTATGCAGACGACTTGGGCAAACATTTCTCTGAAGACAATTTTGAATATGCATGTGGTTCATGCTCCGCTGCCAGTGCTTCTCAGACTTTAAGGTCCATTTAAATCACCTAGGAATCACTAAAATGACCTGAGATCCTGCATTTTCAACAACCTCTCAGATGAAGCTGATGGTGCTAGTCCGTGCACCATGAGTACTGAGGTGCTCAAAAATAGTTTTTCTTGGATGTGGGGAGAAAACCTGGTCTATTTCCAAAGTCACAGGGAAAAACCCTCCCCATAATTTTCTCATTTTTCCTGTTTTTATATATCTGATTCTAAAAATCAGGTTATAAATCAAGTTGTGTGTTTTTATATTTTTTAAAGATTTTATTTATTTATTTATTTATTTATTTAAGAGAAAGAGAACACAAATGGGTGGGAGCGGGAGGGGGGAGAGGGAAAAGGGGAGGGGAGGGACGAAGGGCAGAAGGAGATGGGGGACAGGGAGAGGGGGAAGCAGGCTCCCTGAAGGAGCCCCACTCCTAGGGGCTCATCCCAGACCCCGGGATCATAACCTGAGCCAAAGGCACATGCTAAACCAACTAAGCCAGCCAGGAACCCCATGTGTTTTTATGTTTTTAAACAAAGTTATCTTTAAGTGTTATTTTAAAAATAAAATCAGCTTGGGCCCTAAATCCATCAGTTCAGTTTTTTTTTTTCTTGAAATCAGACTCTTTGCATTTTTTACCCCTGCTATAAAAGAGATCATGGGGAATCATACTTGAAACTTCTAGCTACCAGAGAGCTACCCAACCTCCAATTCTACCTTGGGGACGGCAGGTATAAGACTCCTTTAGTCAGGATAAACAAATCCAGAATTCAGGGCATTAAAAGGACCAAAAGCAAACTTTAGAATTGCTCTGGAATTAGCTCCTTGACCCAGTGGTCCTATGTTTAGCAAGAGCCAATGGGGGAATTTCCTATATTTACTCGGAGTCCTCTTTCGGGTACCTCTGCCACTATGCTCTTTCTGCTGTCATCAGCATCACTCATTTTTGCTCTAACAAGGAAATATACAGTACATATAACAGAGGCAAATGTAAAACTTCTACACTTGGTTCCCAAGATCAAATCGCACAAGATGCAATGAATGAAACATAGAAATTGGCCATTTTCATGTGTCTGATAGCCATTTGTATGTCTTCATTGGAGAAGTGTCTGTTCATATCTTCTGCCCATTTTTTGATATGATTCTTCCCTATGACCCTGCCATTGCACTACTGGGTATTTACCCCAAAGATACAGATGGAGTGAAAAGAAGGGCCATCTGTACCCCAATGTTTATAGCAGCAATGGCCACGGTCGCCAAACTGTGGAAAGAACCAAGATGCCCTTCAACGGACGAATGGATAAGGAAGATGTGGTCCATATACACTATGGAGTATTATGCCTCCATCAGAAAGGATGAATACCCAACTTTTGTAGCAACATGGACGGGACTGGAAGAGATTATGCTGACTGAAATAAGTCAAGCAGAGGAAGTCAATTATCATATGGTTTCACTTATTTGTGGAGCATAACAAATAGCATGGAGGACAAGGGGAGATGGAGAGGAGAAGGGAGTTGAGGGAAATTGGAAGGGGAGATGAATCATGAGAGACTATGGACTCTGAACAACAATCTGAGGGTTTTGAAGGGGCGGGGGGTGGGAGGTTGGGGGATCCAGGTGGTGGATATTGGAGAGGGCACGGATTGCATGGAGCACTGGGTGTGGTGCGAAAATAATGAATACTGTTACGCTGAAAAAATAAAAAATTAAAAAAAAAGAAATTGGCCATTTTCAAAAGAAACAAATTTCATTTTCTACCTACTAAATATAATTGACCAGAATAATGTTATCCAGTCTAGGAATGCATCAATAGAAAAATAGTCCCTATGACAAAAGAGGTAATGGGCTTCCTCTAGTTTGCATTGGCAAAGCCATACTTGGGGTACTACGGTGTTTAGATGTGTGTGTGCATGAGTTTGTGTGTATGTGTGTGTGAGTCAGTGAAAGTATGGGAGGGCAAAAAGGGAGCAGTCATGATTTAGGAGAAACAATGAAAAAGACCCAACAGATTTCAAAAAGATAAACCATATAGTGGTTTATCTTTTTGAAGAAAAGTAATGGAAAGAAGTTGAGAGAACTTCAAACTGCATTATAAGTTAAAGGACTTAGAGATATTTACCTTTGAAATGTGTACATGTGGGTTTTAGAGTAGAAATTAGTTAAGACCTTGTTGATGATGGATGGATGGATGGATGGATAGTTAGATGGATAGATGGATAGACGGATGAATGGACAAACAGGCAGGTTATCTATTGAATATATTATATGTGTCAGGCACTCTACCAAGAACTCTACATGTATTGAATGATTTCATTCTCCAAACAATTCTTTAAAGTTAGTATTATCCCCATGTGAAAACTGGAAATACAAGGCATAGATAAATTAAGTGACCTGTCCAAAGTCCTTGACTGGGTGACTCCATAGTTTGTGCTTTTAACCTCTAGTTAATAACCCTATGTGACAACCATGGAGTTCCACTGCTCAGATCTCCCTTAAAGAAATAACTTGCTGGCCAGCCATGAGAAATATAGTTAGCTGACAGCCTCCAGCTGTTAACATCCCCAGGATCTGTTTGCATGTTCTACCAGACACCATTCTGTTCCAGAGAAGCCCCAATGACTGAGCATGGCAGGGGTGGTAGGACCTGGATATTTCTGCCCATTATGGGGCTCCTCTAATAGTCTTTTCTCAGGATATCCCCATTAGGTTGTCATAGACTTTGTGGGACCAGCACTGCAGTCTGAGGCTCTCCCTGGCCACCTGTGCTCTTCCCCTATTTTATCTATGACAGGAGTCATTCTAAAAAGAAGTTTCTTTTACTCTAACATCATTTCAGCATCTGCTTCCTGAGGGACCCAACTAGCACTTACTGTGTCTTCAAATATTTGGGGTCCTATCATATGAAAGAGCATTTAGAATTGTTTTCATATGGTGATAAGGGGTTAAAGTAGGAGAAACTGACTAAACTATTAAGGAAGTAGCTTTCACAAATGCATACGGAGAACTTTCTAACTAGACTGGTGTGGTGCAAACATTGGGATAGACTGCCTCAACACTGATGAGTTTTCAGTCACTGCAGTCATTCAGGCCAAGAGAACTGCTTATTTTAAGGCTGTGTGACATCACCACAACCCCCACCCCATACAACACGGAGCATCTGAGATGCTAAACATCTACAATGCTAAGTGAGTAGCAAAAATCAAATTGTATAAGAAGCCACACCAGGAAGCCCAAACTTCTGATTTTTCAGTGGTTCAGTGGGTCTGGTTTCCTAAATCCAAACCTGTACACTCCTAGGACAGCCCAGTGGTACTCCAGGCCAGACCCCCATTATCCACATCCCCTTCTTTCCTTCCTTCCTTCCTTTCTTTCTTTCTATCAAAGAGCTACTAGCAAGGGAGCTAAGGCTATGGGCTCATTGTCCTCATGGTCTATTTTGCAGGATCAAAACCAAACTGCCCATATGCTTTGTTAAGTGAACTGTAATATTCTCTTTGGTGTCTGATGAAATTTCATGACACCCTCCATTGACACCTGGCTTTCAAGCTCAAGAACCTGTATCCCAGAGACAGAAGGACCCTCTTCCTCAAAGCCTCCTTTCTTCATCAAGACACAGGCACACCAGTGAGGAGACACACACTTGCTCCTTTCCGGATTTCCAGAATGGTCAAATTACATACATAATTATAGATTTCAGATAATGAAATAAAAGGTGTGAGATTCTGATAGAAAAACAGTAACCTAGTCAGCATAGGAATCTGTATATAAGGAGATACTTACTGAGCACCCGCCAAAGGCTAGATAGCCTTTCTTACAGGGCACAAGGGTGTGCTCGACAGGGTCCCTCATTTCCAGGAGCATGCATTCAAATGTCATTGAGAAGCCTGCTGACCCTCCACTAAGAGAAGCTATCGAAGCCATGTTCACAGATAGCCATCCTAAAGAGAATGCTGTGGAAACACCAGTCTGATGTCTTTTCCCTTTCTCTCCATGCCAAATTTCTGCAGTATCCCTACCAGTTATAGTCTACATTTTCAAGAAATATTTCATTATAGTTATAGTGCTCTGAAGCCAATTCATAAAATTTGCAAGGGGAGTTCAAAAAAAGCAAGCTCAGCAGTATTTGGGGACTTTTAAAAATGATGACACAGCTGACCTATTGGAGACAAAGACAGTGGGAGGGCCCTCACTGGCATAATAAATAGGAGTTTCTGTGCTCAGAACCCACAGTTCAGACCCAGAGCTGAAGTCTGAACTCCACCTTGAGGCAGAATGAGGTTCACCCTGGGATCTCTGCTGTTCATGCTACTGGTCTGCAGCCTCCCTCATGTCCATGGTGAGAACTTTCATATATTTTGTTATTGTGCTTTGTGCAGAAATAGTCTTCAGCCATTTCTTTCTTTTCAATTAGAATATGGGGAGCGATAGGACTAGTGGGGGGGTGGGGAACTACTGAACTGCTCCTACATTTCTAAAAGTAAGGTGCTTAGAGATTTAACTCTTAGAGGCTAGAAGTACGTATGTCATTAAGATTCTTAACCACAGATGGAGAAACTGAAGTCCTGTGTCCATGTGGCTTCTACTGGGTTTGTCTATTCCTGGTCTTTTTCAGATTCAGCTCTATTAACTAACTCTTCCCATGTACAACTTCTTTGCTCCACCTTTCAATTCTACCCGTTCTGACTAAACCTTTTATAGGGTTTAAAGATAATTGATCTCAACAGGTTGGTCTCCTACAGGGAATGTTTAGCGTGATTTTATATGGCTAGCTCTGACATGAACAATTGTAAGCACAACACGGGGACTGAGGTACATGCTTTCTGCAAAGAAGCAGAGTTCCAAGTCCAAATGGGAAGACTATGTTTGTATAAGTAGATAAACACCTAGTTGAAGGGATAAGTTTTTATACAGCTGAAGAAAGCTGAAGCATGTGTAGAATGATATGCTCTGCCCAGGTGTAAAAAACAAATTTTGTTCTTAAAGTGCAAGGAATTGTTTTCCAGTTGTTATTTTCTTCACGTGCTATTTTTATTCTTCAAGACCTTCCCCTCTCTCTTCCTCCGTAAAGCTTTCCCATCGCCCTGCCAAGGTTCTCTGTTCTCGTCATGCTGTTTGGATCTTGGGTGTGAAATACAACATTCTGTGACATTTTACTCTTTATTCATGGGTTTCCTCCACCAAATTGTAAATGCCTTGATAGCCATATCCCTTTTCTTTCAAATGCTTGTCAAACATGGTGGTAGACACTGGATTTAAAGAAGGTAGAATTCATTAAAATACATGAAATAGATTACTTATAAAAGTATTTAGTACAAATCACTGGTGGTGTTGAATAAAAATAGTCTTGAATTTTAATTATTGGCCTTTGGTTGGTAATGATATCCAACTGATACAGAGGACCAACATATTACACAAAAACAAAAACTCTTCCGTCGTATTTCTTTGGAGAGACAAGGGAGGAGGTGATTTGAGCATGATAAGAACAATCCTGTTACAGATTATTATTGCTCTGGGGACACTGTAAGGAATTCATATCTTCGGTTTTTATGTGTTTGGAGCGAAGATCAGTTGACTTAACACTGTATTAATTATAACTGAGTTGTAAGTCCCCAGAGTGGTGGTTCTCAAATTTTATTATACAGACAATCACCTGAGCACCAATATAACACTATCGCAAATTTCAATAGGTGTTGTGTTTTTAGAAAGCTGATTTTATTTTATTTTTTTCTTTAAGGTTTTGGTAGAAAATGTTTGAAAATAAGCCAAGACAAGCAGAAATACACAAACTAAAAGCATCTGGGTGAAAGCATTGACTTGAAATTTTTAAATCTTCAAATGTATCATATGAAAGATTAGTAATTAAATTCAAGTTATGCATTATATGCCAGGGGATTAAAATAACTGCTTGTGTTTACAGGTGTTCTGGAGGCCTACAATACAAACTTAAAGTGTAAATGCATCCAAGAGACCTCGGCCTTTATCCCGGTCAACCACATTGACAAGCTTCGGGTCTTCCTTCCTGGGAATGGGTGCCCAAACAAAGAAGTCATGTAAGTTGCAGGAGAAAAAGTTACCTGATTCTTTTCTCCCCATGAAAATCAGATCAAATATTGCCATAGAGTATTTGTTAGTATTGTTGACATACAATGTTGCATTACTTTCAGGTATACAGCATAGTATTCAAGAATCTCAAAGTGATTTACTTTGAGAGTTGCTTACAACTCTCAAGCTAATAATGAGACTCAGTAATATTTGTTAAATGTCTATTTTGCCTCAGCCCTGAGCTAAGTGTCTTATGCACATTCACTCGTCTTATTCCTTTAAGAGCACTATTAAGTTATATCTACTGTTATCACTCCTCTATGGATGCAGAAACCGAGGCTTAGGAAGGTTCACTGACTGCCCTGAGGCATACCAGTAGAAAGAGAAAGAACCAGGACTCCACCCAGGTGTTCCCCCACTGAACCTCTTTTCTTCTCCACCAAATTCGAATTGACAGCAAAAGCAGGCACTTTGCTCCCCAGAACTTAAAGAGCAAGAAAATATGTATTCACAACAGTCCTGGGCCTGAACGTCTGTTTTTATGGAGCTGTCCTTTAGCTTTCAGATCAACTTGAAGAGTTAAGCTAAGGGGACAGTAGTGGCTGCAAGAAATTCAATAGGTATTTTCTTTTACTGAAATGTTTTTCTGTGACCCTTCCTTTTCAGTACGTTCAGAGAAATCTGCTCATGCTTCTATCCTAGCATTTTCCAGAGCACATCAAATGAGAATTTACACATTGCATGTGATACTCATAGTACAGTGTCCGGCACAGTAATAAATATAATAAATGTTCAGTAAAATTTAGCTGTGATTATTATACATTGCTATGTTGAAATAATCAGGTTTGTGGTTCTCTCTTTCTTTCACTCCCACCAGAAAATAAGTTCTTTATAGACAGGGATCAGTTTTGTTTCTCTACTCCCAATGCTTTATCCCTTACCTGGCATAGAATAGAGGTACAACCAATGTTGGATTGTTACATTTAATATTTTAAATAGAGTTTATAGATCTTTTGGTTTAACTACTTGGAACTTTGATTTCTCCTTCTTCGATCTATCTTTATGAACCAAGCACCCACAATACCTTGAAGTATTAGGTGCAGCATCTTGCTTATGGCGTTCCTGACTTCATTTTCATCAGCAGCCCTTCCCTTGGACTTCTTTAGACTTTAGAAATGTTTGTAAGCAGCTACTTTTGTTTGTCCCACTTTGCTATGTGCTTTGGGTCTCTCGCACTGGCTGGATTCAACTTGTAAAAAGGAAATATGGGATATTAAAAATACCCCATATGAAAATCTTTCACTAAAAAGGCATTACACTTTCCCTAATGTCTTCACCAATGAAGGTTCTAACTAAACCACAATTATTGTCCTCAAACTCAGAGAAGTCAGTGAGCACTGGGTGGTATATGCAACTGATGAATTGTTGAACACCACATCTGAAACTAATGATGTACTATATGTTGGCTTATTGAGTTTAAGTAAGAAAAACAAAAACAAAAACAAACAAACAAAAAAAAACCTTAGAGATGGCAAGTCTAGCCATGACCTATTGGGGAGCAGTTCCTCTGCCTGTGTAGAAAACTGAGACTCTCTCTCTCTCTATTTTTAACTTTACTTTTTCAGTGTTCCAAGATTCATTGTTTATGCACCAGACCCAGTGCTCCATGCAATACGTGCGCTCCTTAATACTCACCACCAGCCTCACTTAACGCTCCACCACCCTTCCCTCCAAAACCCTCAGTTTCTTTCTCAGAGTCCACAGTCTCTCATGCTTCATCTCCCCCTCCAATTTCCCCCAACTCACTTCTCCTCTCCGTCTCCCCATGTCCTCCATGTTATTCCTTATGCTCCACAAGTAGGTGAAACCATATGATAATTGACTCTCTCTGCTTGACTTATTTCACTCAGCATAATCTCCTCCAGTTTTGTTCATGTTGATACAAAAGTTGTGTATTCATCCTTTCTGATGGAGGCATAATATTCCATTGTATTTATGGACCATATCTTCTTTATCCATTCATCTGTTAAAGAGCAGCATCTTGGCTCTTTCCACAGTTTGGCAACTGTGGTCATGGCTGCTATGAATATTGGTGTACAGATGGCCTTTCTTTTCACTATATCTATATCTTTGGGGTAAATACCCAGTAGTGCAATTGCAGGGTCATAGGGTAGCTCTATTTTTAATGTTTAAAATTTTTATTTATTTTTTTAATTTCTTTTCAGTGTTCCAGAATTCATTGTTTATGCACCGCATCCTTTAATTTCTTAAGGAATCTCCACAGTGTTTTACAAAGTGGCTACACCATCTTGCATTCCCACCAACAGTGTAAAAGGGTTCCCTTTTCTCCACATCCTCTTCAACACTTGTTGTTTCTCATCTTTTTAATTTTGGCCATTCTAACTGGTGTAAGGTGGTATCTCAATGTGATTTTGATTTGAATCTCCCTGATGGCTAGTGATGATGAACATTTTTTCATGTGTCTGTTAGCCATTTGTATGTCTTCTTCGGAGAATTGTCTGTTCATATCTTCTGCCCATTTTTTGACATGATTATCTGTTTTCTGTGTGTTGAGTTTGAGGAGTTCTGTATAGATCTTGGATATCAGCCCTTTGTCTGTAGTGTCATTTGCGAATATCTTCTCGCGTTCTGTGGGTTGCCTCTTTGTTTTGTTGACTGTTTCCTTTGCCGTGCAGAAGCTTTTGATCTTGATGAAGTCCCAAAAGTTCATTTTCGCTTTTATTTCCTCTGCCTTTGGAGACATGTCTTGAAAGAGGTTGCTGTGGTCGATGGCGAAGAGGTTACTGCCTATGTTCTCTCTTTTTTTAAATTACATATCCTCTACCATGAGTCATCTCTCACCTCTCAACCTGAGGAAGTATTGCACCCTAATTTCTTCTTTGTCAAGTTCAATCATTTTGAAGTGACAAGAATTTGATTTTATATCTTCTCCCCAAATTTCTGTGTTTCTGAATTTTAGTCAGATATAGGAATAAAGCTGGAAATTATGAGAAATCCATAGCAATTGGGATAAAAATCCAGATGGTCAGAAATCTATTTTCCATCATGAACTCAAAAACCAAATCAGAAGGTTCTGCCCAAGAAGCCAACAGTCCTATGCCCTTGGACCTCTCTAAGATTCATTTACAAGAGTAGTTTCAAAGCTAGATGGCTGGATCCTTGCTCTCTGTTATTTCCTAACTAAGGTTAATGTGAAGAAATTGCTTTGTTCGAAGTCCACCCCAATAGAGTTGAGTGTCCCAGTTTGCTATCACCTGGGAAACCTCATGTCTTTCAGCAAAGGGAAAACATTTGACACTGCCCAGCATTTGATAACCATTCAGATCCTGCCCATGTAGAGTAGTGGCTACCTGATGGTGGGAAACATTCATTTGGATGCCGCTCTACCATCATATTTGTTGTATAGTCTTAGACAAGTTATTTAAACTCCCTAAGCCTCAAGTTCCTCATCTGAATATAAGAAATAATAGTTCTCTAGCGTAGGATTTGTGTGAACTTGAGATAATTCATGCTACCTGCTGAGCATAGTGATTGACACATTACAAGGGCTCGATTGATATTAGCCAGTAATTATTATTGCTGCTTTTGCTGTTGTTGAATCTCTTAAAGCAGTGACAGTCTCACTAACTAGAGGTTCAACAAAATGCAGATGTCACTCTCCCACATTAAATTTCATTGAATTTTTTTACAAATAAAATTTTCTAAGAGAATGTTTTATGGAGTTTATTTCGTTCTCCCAAGCCCAGTGGACAAATACATTTTAAAGGTATTATGATACAGATTTCAAAGTGAGCCAATCTTGGGGTCATGTATTTGGTCCACCTCAACTCATGGAAAGACTGTCAACAGAGCATTAACCCCTGACACTTGAGATTCTATAAACCTCATCTATAGCTCCACTGGCTCATACATGACTTTTCTGCAAATGTTTTCCTCCTTCCTCAGACCTCACACCACAAATCGCCTACTTCAGATCCTAAACTGCCCACCTCCAATTTCACTTCACTGAGGAATATTTTTATACTCAGTTCTCCTTAAGCACAGGATTGACTAAAATGTAACACTGCTTTATTTTCATTTTTGTTTCTTTTTCCCCAGAGTTTGGAAGAAGAATAAGTCGGTCGTATGCTTGAACCCTCATTCCAAATGGACACAAAAATTAATAAAAACATTACAGTAAGTCAGGCATAACAAGAGTTTCCAGATTCCAATTTGTACAGAAGGGTTTCCTTTTAATGGGTAGTCAAAATGGAGACCATTTTAAATTTATGAGAAATTCTTAAGACAAATACTCATTCTTCATTATTATTACTTTTCAAATGGGTGAGGTTGACTTACTTCAGTAGCTCAATAAACTAAATTGGAAGCCAGTATGTATAATATTCCTTGTTTGACATCTTTAAGGGAAAGCCAATTTCTAGTAAGTCTCTAGACATGACTCTCTTGTTTCTGTTTTTATTATAGAAAAAACGCTGCTTCAACTCGACCAGCTCCAGGGCTTAGAAGATTGATGAAGTGATATCAGTATCTGTACTAAGGACACCTGTATTCCTCCCTGAACGTGCTCTGGGTTTTAGTCTTGTATTTGGATGAACCTTTCCAAGAAAAAGAACATCCCCACATAAGCATGCATGAAAGTATATGTAAAAATGACCCTAGAGCAGCTTATGGGGCCAAGTTGGGCTTTTTGAAAAATAAGGTACCCTATATACTTGGGCTTTGCATTCTCATTCATCACAAAGGAAATTTCTTTGAGGATAGTTACTTAGTAATAAATTGCATAGGTTTCTTTTAATAGTGTTATTAAAATAATAGCAATAGCAATAGTACTATTGCTTAGTGCTAAATTTTCCTAGAAAATAAGGTAATATGAATTTAAATCTCAAGTCTAAACATGTGGCTTGAGTTAGGAAGGAAATGATGGAATTCACTTCAATCATTTTATACCATAAAATAAGAAAAGCAGACTTCCATAAAAGACTTGAAACCTGCCTGAGAAACCCACGGAACTTTATGAGACAGAGGGCTCTCATAGTTGATATCTTCCATTTAAAAGCTCCGTATTGAGAGAAATGGGGTCCTACTTTTAATAGTTCTTTTATAAGATTTACTGTCATATGCAAAAACTAATAACATTCAATGATCCCAGATTTAAATTCATAGAATACTCAGGAAAAGCATTTAAAAGCTTGTGTTCAGATGTACTCTTTTATACATTTGCTTTGACAAATATATTTTACTCACATCTTTTGCACAGACCTTTATTTTCTTGCTCTCTGGTACCTGATTCTATAATGTTTCTTATTAATCTAATGCTTTTCAATAAACCTAAGTCAATATTTTACTTAATTATGAGTAACTCATTCTTAACAGAGCATTTGCTCAAATTTAGACATTCTCTGACTCATCACAATGAAAAGTAGGATTTCATCATACTGATTCTTATTTGTATGATGCTTGCCTTTTACGGATCTAAATTATGTGGCAGTGGGCGAGTGAACCTGTTCCTAACGTTGACACAGTGAGAAAGTGCTTGACTATGAGAGGCTCTTTTCCTTTGTGTACTCGTCATTATTTCTTCCAGAAATCTTCAAACTCTCAACAAAACCTATTTTCACAGTTCCATTATATTGACTCTTAAAATCTCCAATGTTTCCTTGGACAAAATTTTGCATGGGTTTGACAAACAGAAGAAGAAGATCCTTACATCTCCATTCTTTCCTTCCCTGGATGCAGCCTGACTCTCCTTGTAGGCTGAGCTCCGCTCTCCTACTGTCCCTCAGTCCCCTTGACACATGAGGGGCCCCATTCCAGCACACCCAGGTTTGAAGCTGTATCTGGCTCCTGATTTCATTTTCTCTTTTTATTTATTTATTTATTTTTATTAAATAGATTTCTTGGATGGAAGTAAAGAGAACCTATTCATCCTATATTTTCTGTTGTCTATAATTCAGTGTTTATTTCCTTATCGCACATACAAGGAATTATAAAATGCCATCAAAATCCTGGATTCTAGCCTTTTTCAGATTTCTACTTCTAGAGGTCAGGAATCATGTCACTCTTTAGTTTTATTTTGGTCTTCTTTGAGAATGCAGCTAGATAAATATTCAGGATCTTCAAATAGGAAATATTACCATTTCACTTAAGGAAGGTACTATTATCTTGATATCCATTAAGAACCCTCATTTTACAGAGGTAGAATTTGTTAGTTACACAGGGGTGAAGTAACTTGCTCAAGGTCATACAACTACTGACAAGCCAAAATTCAAACCCAGGCAGAGTTCACACTTTTTTTATTTCAGTGCTCCAAAATGCATTGTGTATGTACCACACCCCAGGCTCCATGCAATACGTGCCCTCCTTAATACCCACCACCAAGCTCACCCATCCCCCAACCCCGTCCCCTCTAAAACCCTCAGTTTGTTTCTCAAAGTCCACAGTCTCTCATGGTTCCTGTCCCCCTCCAATTTCCCCCAATTCATCTTTCCTTTCCTTATCCAAAGTTCATAGCAGCAATGTCCACAATTGCCAAACTGTGGAAAGAACCAAGATGCCCTTCAAAAGAAGAAGAGTTCACGCTTCTAATCACCACACTATGCTGACTCTATATGGAGTAGACATCACCAGCCTCATTTTACAAAAGCAGAAGCTGAGGCAATAAGACATTTACTTGCCCCAAATCACATTAACTAGTAAGATACAAAATCAGAATTCAAACCCAGGGCCTCCTGACTCCTTAGAAAATGGTCTTAATCATGACACTGTATTGCATAAAGTTCATTTAGCCCTAAATGTATTCCTTACCTCAGCCCTTTTGTCTACCCTTCCTTTTTTTTTTCCAATTTTAAGCACACACTTCAATAGTACTAAATACGTTCTGTAATACTGAACAACCATCACCATGATTTATCTCCTTTTTTCCCAAGATTTTATTTATTCATTTGGCAGGCAGAGAGGAGGAAGCAGGCTCCCTGGTGCGCAGAAAGCCTGTGGGGCTCAATCCCAGGACCCTGGGATCATGACCCGAGCTGAAGGCAGGGACTTTAACCCAGAGCCACCCAGGTGCCCCCATCTCCTTTATTCGTAACAATTTCTTTTTTTTTTTTTTTGAAGATTTGACAGAGAAGAGGGGGAAGCAGGCTCCCCAACTGAGCAGAGAGCCCAACGAGGGGCTTGATCCCAGGACCCTGAGATCATGACCTGAGCCAAAGGCAGAGGCTCAACCCACTGAGCCACCCAGGCACCCCTTCTTTACATCTTCTAAAATTGAAATTCTCTATCCAAATTTCCCATTTACCCCTTTCCCCAACCCCTGGTAACCACCATGGGTATATGCTTTTAAAATAAAGACCCATTTGTTTCCACTGACTCTTCAAAAGGCAAATTACCTGTGTCAGTATTTCAACACCCTAAAAACCTTATTTGTTAACACCTAGTCCATTAAAATCCTGTGGCACACCACCTAAAACCCTTAATTTTAGTGTCAACCTAGTTTTAGCTTTCTGTATACAGTGGTACAGATGTATAGCTTTAATGCTTATGCTCCACAAATAAGTGAAACCATATGATAATTGACTCTCTCTGCTTGACTTATTTCACTCAGCATCATCTCTTCCAGTCCCGTCCATGTTGCTACAAAAGTTGGGTATTCATCCTTTCTGATGGAGGCATCATACTCCATAGAGTATATGGACCACATCTTCCTTATCCATTCGTCCGTTGAAGGGCATCTTGGTTCTTTCCACAGTTTGGCGACCGTGGCCATTGCTGCTATAAACATTGGGGTACAGATGGCCCTTCTTTTCACTACATTTGTATCCTTGGGGTAAATACCCAGTAGTGCAATTGCAGGGTCATAGGGAAGTTCTATTTTTAATTTCTTGAGGAATCTCCACACTGTTCTCCAAAGTGGCTGTGCCAACTTGCATTCCCACCAACAGTGTAAGAGGGTTCCCCTTTCTCCACATCCTCTCCAACACATGTTGTTTCCTGTCTTGCTAATTTTGGCCATTCTAACTGGTGTAAGGTGGTATCTCAATGTGGTTTTAATTTGATTCTCCCTGATGGCTAGTGATGATGAACATTTTTTCATGAGTCTGATAGCCATTTGTATGTCTTCATTGGAGAAGTGTTTGTTCATATCTTCTGCCCATTTTTTTTTGGAGCAGGGAATTTTAATCCACATTTAAATGCAGGATGACTTGTTGAGCCAGTTGATGGAGTGTCTGAGGAAAAGTGATCTTTAGCTGATCTGAGTGAGTTTGGGTTCAGAAAGGGAGAAGAGTGGAACAGGAAGATAGACTTTAGGTAATTCATGGCCACATACATACAAATACACACATACAAATTAACTAAAATCTGAAGTAAAATAGAACTGAAGAGAAAACACAAGGTAATGCTGACCAAAGCAGGATGTTCAACTCTGGGAAATGGAATGCAGGAGCTAGAAGGCCAAACTAGGCAGGGAGCTCTTAGCAATGGAATGCAGGGAACCTCTAACAAAGTTGAGTTGAGCCTCAATTGCTCTGCTAACTCCTATCTGACCACAGAGGCCCAAGGAGGAAAAGATTGTTTCTCAAAGGTGATCCTATTCATGAGGGCTCCCCCCTTATTACCCCATCTGATGCTAATTATCCCCCAAAGTTCCCAACTCCTAATACACCAGAGGGCAAAGTTTCAACACATGAATTTTGGGGGAGATACAAACATTCAGTTCCCAAGCTCTGTTCTGTTCCTATAATTTTGCCTTTTCTAGAAAGTCATATAAATGGAATTATACAGTATGCAGCCTTTTTGCCTGGCTACTTTAACTTTGCATAAGATTTTAATAACACGATTCATCGTGTTATTGAATGCATCAATGGTTTATTTTTCATTGTTGCTGACTCCTATTCCATTGTATGGATACATCACAGGTGATTCATTCGCCAGTTGATGGACATTTGAGTTGTTTCCAGTTTTCGACTATTGTGACTCTGTTTTCAACATTCACACACAAGTCTTTGTGGGAACATATGATTTTGTTTCTCTTGAGTAAATACCTAATGAGATTGCTGGGTCATAAGACAGATGCATATTTAACTTTATTAGAAGCTGCTAGACTGTTTTCCCAAGTGGCTCCACTACTTTGCTTTCCCACCAGCAATATATGAGAATTTCAGTTCACATCTTTGCCAACACTTGGTATTATTAGTCTTTTAAACTTCAGATATTTTAGTAAATGTTTACTCTCTTGTTATCTTCATTTGTATGAATTAGTTGCAATGGCTAACGATGAGCAATTTTTAATGTGTGTATTCTAGATCCATACGTTTAGATTAGGTACCTTACATGAAGGTCTTTCCCCATTGAGTTACACTGGCAAAATTATCAAAAAGAAGCTGACTATGTATGTAGGTTTCTACTTCCAGACTTCTGTTTCATGATCTATATGTCTACCTTCATTCCAGTATCATATGGTCTTGATTAGTGAAGCTTAATAGTAAGTCTTAAAATTCAGTAGCAGGACTCTTCCTAGTT